AAGTGACGTTCAGATTAAGAAAACATGACATGAGCGGTCCTAATAAATCTAAAAATACTCACCTCCGCTTCACTCAGTTTCAAACTCTCAGTAGTCATACTTTCAATCAAGGCTTGTGTGGAGGCAGGTATAGGCTCTATGTTGATACATCGTTGTGCGATCATAAATAAAGGCATTCCGGGTACATCGCGGGCCAGCAAACGAAGGTTCTCATCATTCGAAGCTAATGCGAAAAGAAAACATTTTTCATGTTTCTTCGGGTGCCCATAAGTGTGGCTGTGCCTTTTTGCAGTTCGAATACGTTTACGCATGCACCATGCTGCCCCACGAGAAGGGTCATATTCGTGTCGACAAGTAAGAACCTTAAAGCCTTCCAGGACTTTAAGCGCCCCAAAAAGCAGGGACCCTAGGGCTTTACATTCAGAAATGACACAGGAAGAGGTCACGAGGCGTATCCCTTTGCCAACCATATTAGAAAGGCTCTCAAATATGTTCACTTGGTGGATCAATGCTTGGCGAACGAATGTATAATCCAAAAATATTTCAAGCTCCTTGAAATTCAGGCCGAAACAACGGGAATAAACTGTTAGTATTTTAGCACATTGCTTTGCCCTTTTCAGCCGCATACTTTACGCAGCAAATATGCTCAATATCAGCAAACTCAGAAACCGATGCAACGCGGATCCGGGTATTTCTATCTTTGCGCTTAATTTGCACCGTAGTAAAATATTTACATTTTTGAGTTGATTTATGTCTCGGGTAAAAGATGTTGGATATGCAAGTTCAAAATAAAATACCAGAAGTTCTGAAACAAATTAGATTTGACTTAAAACACTTGGAATTTTAAACGCCCAAGGTTAGCACTTTTGTGCATTTCAGTAATTATCTTTCTCAGAGGTAGGATTTGAAGCAAGTCAACACATGTTTGTAATATGTAGTCAATATTGACAAACACCGCAGTCAACATCATGGCAAAACAGAAATCCAACTGAGAAATGATGAAGTGGATAAAGAGAGTATGATAAGAGATGGGAAAAATTAGGATTTCTCAGGAAAGGCTAAATACACAAAGTTGCAGGCAACAAGGCTGATTTAAATGAGTCAGGCTAGATAGTAGCGAACGACAATCGAATTAACCGGAGAACCGAATTCTTAAATCCGAATTGTGATATTTCTCATTGAACTTTTTTGTGATGTTCAAATAAACCACAAAAAGCTTCGGTAGCCGATAAATATCAGGAAAATTTTCTACGTTATACATAGCTATTTCGCGGAAATCGGAAGAAAATGCACAGTAAATACTTTTGGTAACTCTCACTGCCTAGGTGACGGGTGTGGCTGTAACAAACCAAGGCACTAAATGGGTTTTTAAAGTGAATTAAAGACGGGACTTTGGCGTAAGCGCAGGATTGGGAGCGGCGTGGTCAATTGTCGGTGAAGATGCTGGTGCCTATTACCTTTCAAAACCACTGACCATTATCTCGTAAAAAATAGTCATCACAGTTCAATCATATCCTCTTGCTCTATGTCAATATTCCACGTCCCACCACGGCAGCTGCCCAAGGCACTGCACT